CCAATCCCATGCCCACCCCCCACCCCCAGCTACACTATGCCTACTCTCCTTCCTGCCACTTCAGGTTGCTTAAAGAAGTGATGTATGCGCTCAGAGTGCCTAATTCCTTGCCTCCCAGTTACCCACAGCTCCTTGAAAATGACTGAAACTATCCTGGCAAAGATAAGCACTTACTTCCAGGTCCAACAGATGCTTCTTGGCTCGTATCTTGGGTGATGCATTTGACAGCTCTGTCCTCCCTCCTCCCTGCACCGGGTACCCCCATCTGTTTCCCCGTCTGGGCCCCAGCCATCCTGAGGTACCCTTTGTGCCCTAGCCTCCTGGCCTGGAGAACCCTGCTCTTGTTTTTCAATCCCCTTCAAGGGACCCTCTGCATGTGCCCGGTGTCCTGTGCGTATCACTACTTTAGTACTCATCCTTGTATAGGAATGAGCTTTCCTGTCACCCCAAAAGACTGGAACTCGTTGGGAGCAGGGACTGTCTTTTGTGTGTGTGTGTTTATTTATTTTGAAAGAGCTAGACAGAATGTATACACTGTATGTATGCAGAGAGAGGGACAGAGAGAATCCTGAGTAGGCTCCGCACTGTCAGCTCAGAGCCCAACTCAGGGCTCAATCCCCCAAACTGTGAGATTATGAATTGTGCCAAAATCAAGGGTTGGACGCTTAACCCACTGAGCCACCCAGGTGCCCCCCCCCTTTTTAAAGTTTTTATTTTAACCACCTGGCGCTCATCAAGACAAGTGTACTCCTTAATCCTTGTCACCTATTTCTCTTATCCAACCTGCTCCTCCCACCTCCCCTCTGGTAACCATCAGTTTGTTCTCTACAGTCATTTCTTGGTTTGCTTCTCTTTTATTTTCAGGGACTGTCTTTTAATTTTTTTTTTTTTAACATTTATTTACTTTTGAGAGATAGAGAGACAGAGCAGGAGCAGGGAAGGGCAGAGAGAGGGGAGACACAGAACCTGAAGCAGGCTCCAGGCTCTGAGCTGTTAGCCTAGAGCCTGACGCAGGGCTCGAACTCAAGAACCACGAGATCATGACCTCAGCCCAAGTTGGCTGCTTAATCGACTGAGCCACCCAGGCGCCCCCAGGGACTGTCTTTTAAACCTATTTTTTTGTCTTCATTTTTCTCAGTGGCATTTGGCCACTCCCACCTTCATGAAGCTCTTTTTTTCTCTAGGCTTCATGACACCACATTCTCCTGGGTCGCCTCCCACTTCAATGGCTATTCCCTCTTAATATCTTGGGTAACTGCTTCTCCTCTGCTTGCTTAACCTCAGAATGCTGAGAGAATCCAAACTTCACCCTTGACCTGGATCTCCCCCTAGGCGATCTCCCCCATTGTGTTAAATTCCATCTACAGGCTGCTGGCTCCCAGATTTTTATCTGAATCTGACCTCTGCCTGGGGCTTCAGATGCATATATCCCATTGCATAATCATCCGCATGGATGTTTACTAAATATCTCAAACTTAATGTGGTCAAAACAGGACTCTTGATTTCCAGCTCCAAATCTGTTCTCCCCGAGTGCTCTTTATCTCAGTATGTGGTACAATCAATAATCACCTATTGCTTGGCCCAAAAGCCTGGGAGTAGTGTGACTACTTGTCCTGGTTTGCCTGGGACTTGTCCTCATTTTAGCCCTGACAACCCTGTGCCGGGAAACTCCTCGGTCTCAACCAAGCCAGGGTGTTTGGCCATCTCACCTGAGAGTCACCCAAGACTTCTTCCCTTCACATTCTACATCCCATCAACTGGATCTCCATCCAAATATACCCTCTTTCCACCTCCACCACCACCTGGTCCAACCCTCCATCATGTCCCACATAGGCCATCCCAGGAGCCTCTTCATCTGGCTTCCCTTCTTCCTTGCTTGGCCCACTGCATTTTTTCACACAATAGCCAGAGGATCTTCACAAAGAGAAAATATGACTATAGCACCACACACCATCTATGAGCTTGAATACCTACTAGTTCAAGCATTCCAACTGCACTTAGAACAAATCCAAATTTCCTTCCTGTAGGCTCTATATGATCTGGCTCTTGCCTCCCATCCACTGTCATCTCCTGGTTCACTCCCTTCCTCCCATCCCTCCCTCCCCAACCTCCACCCCCATCACCTCATGACTCACTCTCTCCTGCCATTCAGGTATGAGGTCAAAGTTACCCTCATGACTGTATCCAGAGTCATTTCCCAATTTTCTCCCTATCAGATCTCTCTCTTCCATTATCTTCAAAGCATAGCTCATCACCTGATATTACCTTGTTCATTTTTTTGTTTGTGTATCAACTCCCCCCATCGAAGATGTAAGCTGGAAAGCAGAGCCCTTGCCAGTCTTGTTCACATCCCTGTTCTCAGCACACAAGTACTCAGGAAGCCTTTGCTAATAAATGAATATTCAGCCGTAGTACAGGGTCTCTCACTGTGGTCATAAAAGATACTGAATAAACAAATTAATGAGAGTCAACCAAGCCCTAGGCTAGGCACTGGACCCACCTTTGTAACTAAGCTATGTTGCTTTAGGAGTTTATGACTTACTGAGAGAAAGATACATAAATCAAATTTTAAACTAAATAGTCATAACAATTATGAATATGCTGGAGAGTAAGAAATGTCATAACTGGGTGCCTGGGGGGCTCAGTTGGTTAAACATCCAACTTCAGCTCGGGTCATGATCTCACAGTTCGTGGGTTCAAGCCCCATGTCAGGCTCTATGCTGACAGCTCAGAGCCTGGAGCCTGCTTCAGATTCTGTGTCTCCCTCTCTCTGCCCCTTCTCCACTCGCATTGTCTCTCTCTGTCTCAAAATTAAACATTAAAAAAAATAAATGTCATAACTTTTTCTTTTCCTTTTTTTTTTTTTTAAACTAAGCTTTATGCCCAAGGTGGGGCTTGAACACAATCCATCCACCAATGACCCATGAAGTAATCCAAAAAAACCAGTTTGACCATTTCACTGCCTTTATGTAGCATGAAACAGACCAAATTTCTTAGCATGGCTTTCAAAACACTCCATCATTTAGAGTAACAACTTTATTCTCCACTACATTTCTCCATCCCATAGAACCCATACCCAGCTTGACTCACCTACTAGCCATTCCCCAACATGTTTCTATATGCTTCCATTTTCACATTTTCTCTAAAGCTGTTTTTCCTACTTGAAATATCCTTTGCCTCCTTCCCCTTTGACTGCCTCATGTCCCCAATATTTCCGCAATTCAGAGTCCTCATTTATTCAAAGTCTAGCCCTATTTCCATCTCATCTCTGAAGACTGCCTGAGAGGAACGAGGCAGGGACTCTGGAACCAGGCTGGATTTACCTGCCCATTTTATGCCGTTCTTCCTATTTGTGTAATCTTGGATAGGTTATGATGCTTCAGGTCCTTCCTCTGTAAATTGGGAGGTATATAAAAGATATCATGTAACTTACAGCACAAAGAAGGAAATGGATGACAAATCAGAAATTAGTGGACCAGAGGGGCACCTGGGTGGCTCAGTCACTTGAGCAACTGACTCCTGATTTCAGCTCAGGTCATGGTCCCAGTGTCGTGGATTGAGCCCCATGTCGGGCTTTGTGCTGACAGCATAAAGCCTGCTTGGATTCTCTGTCTTTCTCTGCCCTTCCCCTGGCTCATGTTCTCTCTCTCTCTCTTAAAAATAAATAAAAAATTTAAGGTAATAATGGAAGGTATAGGTCTTTAAACTGTGTGTGTGTGTGTGTGTGTGTGATTTCACATTAGGGAAAGATTTTTGAGAAATGACACAAAAAGCATGGACCATGGAAGAAAAAATTGATACTGGACTTTTACAAAATTTTAAAATTTTGCTCTTAAATGACATTATTAAGAAATGAAAAGGCCAGGGGCGCCTGGGTGGCTTAGTCGGTTAAGCGTCCGACTTTCGCTTAGGTCATGATCTCGCGGTTCGTGGGTTCGAGCCCAGCGTTGGGCCCTGTGCTGACTGCCAGCTCGGAGCCTGGAGCCTGTTTCAGTCTGTGACTCCCTCTCTCTCTGACCCTCCCCTGCTCACGCTGTCTCTCTCTCTCTCTCTCCTAGAAATAAATAAAAAAACATTAAAAAATTAAAAAAAAAAAAAATGAAAAGGCCAGCCATGGACTTGGAGAAAATATTTGTAAAACATATACATGGTAAAGGATTTATATCTAAGCCCCAAACACACACACACACACACACACACACAGACTTGGTTAAAAATAGACCAAAGATCTAAATACATACTTCATCAAGGAAGATATTTGCTATTTCAAATAAATTTATGAAAAGATGTTCCAAAACATTAAACATCAAGAAAATGCAAATTTATGCCAGAATAAGATACCACTACAAATCCACTAGAATAGCTAAACTTAAAAAGACTTACAATGTCAAGCAGTGGTAAGGATGTGGGAACACCGGATCTCTCATACATTGCTGCCAAGTGGTACAGCCACTTTGGAAAACTGGAAGTCGTTTCCTTATAAAGTTAAACATATACTTACCATATGATCCAGCAATCTCACTCCTAAACTTATCCAAAAGGAATGAAAATGTATGTCCACAGAATCACTTATAGGCAAATGTTCATAGCAGTTTTATTCATAACAGCCACAAATTGTAGACAAACCAACTGTCCATCTACTAGTGACTGAATAAATAAATTGTGATGTAATCATACAAGTAATACTACTCACCAATTAAAAGGGTGGACTATTGATATACCCAACAGCATAAATGAATTTCAATAGTATCACACTAGATCAAACAAGCCAGACACAAAAGGGTACATACTGTATGTAAGATACAATTTTTATGAAAGTCTAGAAAAGGTAAAATAGTGAAATAGTGATAAAAGGTAGATCACCGGGGATGCCTTGGTGGCTCAGTTGGCTGGGCATCCAACTCTTAATTTCAGCTCAAGTGGTGATCTCGTGGTTCATGGGTTCGAGCCCTGCATCTGTCAGTGCAGAGCCTCCTTGGGATTCTCTCTCTGCCCCCCTCTCTCTGCCCTTCCCATGTGTGCTCTATTTCTCTCAAAATAAATAAATAAACAAACAAACAAACAAACAAAAAAGCAGATCACTGGCTGCCTAAAGCTGGAAGTTGGTTGAATACAAGAGAGTATGAGGACAGACACTTGGCTGGCTCAATCGGTAGAACATGCAACTCTTGATCTCAAGAGTCTTGAGTTCAAGCCCCATGTTATGCATAGGCATTACTTAAAAAATAAAAGAGCATGGGGAACTTTTCTGGGATAATAGAAATGCTCTATATCTACCTAATGAGGAAGAGCCTTTCATTAACACCGAACCTCATGCTCACTTGAAAGATTAGTAATGAAGACGCAACATCAACTGATTTAAAACTGTAAGTTTAAAGTCACCACTAGTAACACTAGTTTCTCAAGAACATCGCAAGGACTATAAATAAGCACAATGTATACATTGAAGATAGACCTTTCCACAGATTTCATTGCTTTTCTGAAACACATGAATCAATAACTTACTGAACTGTGTATGTTGGCAGGGGAGCCTAGCCACTGGGAGAAGGAGGCTACGAAATTACCACTTGAGTTAACAAAGTATCTTGTGCGCCTAAGGCATTCTGGTTACTATGCGGAGGACGCTTCCAGCAAAGAGGGGACAGTCTACAGGAAGCAATGGAAGGACAAACGGTTACCGCTCAGTGTGACATAAGCAATGAAAGAAAGGTCTACGGGAGGCTGTAACACTGAAAACAAGCTAATGAGCTCTGAGGATATAGAGATGGAGTCACCATCAAGGAAGGCTTTGGGAGGAAGATGAAACCTGATCAAGGAAGGTAAATATTCCCAACGGACCCTGAGGGGGTCTGCGCCAGATGGGAGGCAGACGAGGGGACATTGGCTTAACATAACGTGTCATCCCATTGGAAACAGCCTGGGAAATTAACGGCAAGGACATGCACCTGCTTCAACCCTTTCACTTCCCCGCAGGACTCTTCTGCAAGTCAATATTTCTCTATAAAAACCTGCCATCTGTCACGCGGTCCTGGGGTACAGCCCGTAGGCCAGTCAAGATGTGACTCTCATCAGGTTGTCTTGGGGAAGGTTGTAGTTGTTCAGAGGAGGGTGTCTAAAAACTGGGGTAATCAGAATTGCCCCTCTGTGGCAAAACTCTTCTGTAAATTCCTGAAGGTACAAAAAAAAAAAAAAAAAAAGATCCCTCCTACCCTCCCGAGTCAAATCAAGCAGAAACAAAAGAAAGGAAAAGCCCCACGATGAAACAGTTGAAAGGTGGCCCTGCAGGCAAAGGAAAAGTGCATCCACACCTGGAAGTGGACTGGGCAGCCCCATGAAGCCAAAATACCAACTTGACGGAAGAACAGTCCTGGATGTTCACCTGGCCTCGGCTACCAGCATTACGAGGGTCTCAGGCAACAACAGCACGAACTCTCAGTCCAGCATTCTTGGGGATCCTTTCCTCCTTCCAAGTTGGTCATATGTACAGCTCTGTAATCAGACACAGTGATTCTCCAAGCCTCGAGCAATGTGCCCCCCCCCCCCCACCATTGAGAATGATGCCCTGGTTCACAGGAACGCAATAGGAAGCGAAAAGCTAAGCAAATAGGTAAGGGAGATGAAGCCCTAACTGCAAACACCCTAATCCTGAAAGCCAAGCAAGGATCCATCCATCAGCCTCTTGGGTTTCATCTCCAACCTCCTAAATTAGCCTCTCTCCATGGAGATCAGGAAGAATCAATTCATTTGTTTGTGTTCACATACAAAGCTTGGTTCTCCCATAAGGAACAGCCTCCACTTCCGGGCACTTACCACAAAAAGGTGGAGTCATAAGGGGCAAGGCAGGCCTGGAATGGGCAGGGCCATTCTCCAGTGGGAATGACCTCCGGGAGGGCAGCAGCCGGCACACTAGAAATAGCAGGGCCCCATCAGGCACTCTGAGAGGGTGAGTAACGCCATCTAGTGGAAACAACAGAGCACCTCTAGTCGCAGAGGAATAGGACTGAAGCCTCTGGTGTGGCCCGAAGGGTACCCTGGCATGCCAATACAGACAGACTATTAACTCTGGAAAAGAAAGGACCTGGCTGATTTGCTCACATATGAAATTCCTAAATTACCATGCACCGGATTAAGGACGCTCGAATTAACTGATGGGATACCCCCAGCCAAGCTGAAATGTGTGACTATGCTCTACAAAGTTAGAGCTTACTACAGCTTCTCTGGAAGGACCTTTCAGTTCTTTGATTGTGGCCCATTTATTTGTAATCGCACGTGGCTGTGCTGATGAAATCTCAGCGAAGGCTATATGAAAGGTGACTTTACCAAAGTGACTAACTTGGAGCACCCGGGTGGCCCAGTTGGAAGAGCAAGTGACTCTTGATCTCTGGGTTGTGAGTTCGAGCCCCACGTCAGGTGCAGAGAAGACTAAAAAAAAAAAAAAGTGATTAACTCATTCAAGAGATTACTAAAAAAGTAAATAAACAAAAGAAAGTGATTCACTCATTCAAATCTTTGTTGCCTATCTATATGCTAGTCTCAGTTCCAGGCTTTAGGCTCATGAACAAGACACATAACAAGATCACGGCTCTCAGAGGGTGGCGAGGGTGGCAGTAGACCAGAAACGAGTGAAGATGTTAACAAGACAAGGTTGGAATGAACATAGTTTAAAAAGGTGAAGTGAGGGAAAGGACGGGTTGTGGAGAGGGTAGTGAGGAGCCTCTTGAGGTACTTTGAGAGGAAGAGCTCACTTCTCATGAGGAAATGTTTTTATTTTATTTTATTTATTTTAAAGAAGCAAACAACTTTTTATTTATTTTTAATTTTTTTAATTTTTTTTTTTTTTAATTTCTAGGAGAGAGAGAGAGAGACAGCGTGAGCAGGGGAGGGTCAGAGAGAGAGGGAGTCACAGACTCTGAAACAGGCTCCAGGCTCTGAGCTGGCAGTCAGCATAGAGCCTGACGCGGGGCTCGAACCCACGAACCATGAGATCATGACCTAAGCGAAAGTCAGATGCTTAACCGACTAAGCCACCCAGGTGCCCCCATGAGGAAATGTTTTTAAAGACAACCATTCCAGGGGCGCCTGGGTGGTTCAGTTGGTTAAGCGTCCAACTTCAGCTCAGGTCATGATTTCACAGTTCGTCAGTTCAAGCCCAACATCAGACTCTGTGCTGACAGCTCGGAGCATGGATCCTGCTTCCAATTCTGTGTCTCCTTCCCTCTCTGGCCCTCCCCTATTCTCACACACACACTCTCTCTCAAAAATAAATAAACATTAAAAAAAAATTTAAAGACAACCATTCCAGACTCTGTATCCAGATGAGCTCTCAAAACTCTTCTGGGACTCCTCTCTGGTTTTTGCCTTCAATGTATGAGCTCCATCAAGAAAAACATGCTGGGGCACCTGGGTGTCTCAATCAGTTAAGTGTGTCTGACTTTTGGTTTCGGATAAGGTCATGATCTTACAGTTTTGTGGGTTTGAGCCCTGTGTCAGGCTCTGCACTGACAGTGCGTAGCCTGCTTGGGATTCGCTCTCTCCTTCTCTCTTTGCCCCTCCCCCACTTGCGCTGTCTCTGTCTCTCTCAAAATAAACTTTAAAAAAGAAAAAAAAAGAAAAAGGAAAGAAAAGCATGCTTGGTGGCACCTGGCTGGCTCAGTCGGTAAAGCATGGGACTCTTCATCCCGAGGTTGTAAGTTCGAGCCTCGTGTTGGGTGTAGAGAGTACTTAAAATCTTAGGGGGAACCTGGGAGTTATCAGTCAGTTGAGCACCTGACTCTTGATCTTAGCTCAAGTCATGATCTCACAGTTCATGAGTTTGAGCTCCGCATCGGGCTCTGCACTGACAGCCCAGAGCCTGCTTGGAATTCTATCTCCCCTCCTCTCTCTCTCTGCCCCTGCTCACATGTCTGCTCTCTGAAAATAATAATAAACTTTAAAAAATAAATAAATCTTTTCAGGAAAAAATGTAGGTTTAACTCAAAATAGCATACTGCATGCAGCTTTACCATCGCCATTCTTTTTGACTCTGAACATCCTCGGGATATTTATTAAAATTAATCCAGTCTTTCTTTATTAATGATTTATTTTTGAGAAAGACAGAAAGAGAGAGAGTGCACAAGCAGGGAAGGGGCAGAAAGAGGGAGAAAAAGAATCCCAAGCAGGCTCTACACTGTCAGCGCAGAGCTCAATGGGAGCTTGAACCCATGAACCAGGAGATGATGACCTGAGACAAAATCCAAGATCAGACGCTTAATTGACTAAACCCCCTAGGCGCTCTCAAAATTAATCCAGTCTTAAACCACGTGCATGGTAACCTATTATTTTGGTGGGAAAGTATGCAGCAAGCTCTGGAGAGAGTTAAGACCTCTGTGAGGTCCTTTCTTCCTCTCTGCGGACAGTATCTTTAATGAGCACACACCTCTGGCAACTGTGCTGTTCTTTTGCTGTGAGCACCTCCTCCTTGTCTTCTAGGGAAGGATCTGTAAAAAAACAACAGTGAAAAAGAGTATTCAGCAAACAAAGGTGGGAGGAGACTGGGAGAAAAGGAAAGTACTAAGATGGAGGAAAGAGTAAAAGATTAAAAGAACAAAACTTGATAAATCACTCCCAAGTTCGCCGCTTATAGTTCAAGTTTCTGGACCTTATGTCCTCATCAGATCCCAGGGGTATCTTCCCGATGGGTCAAGCAATCCACTTTCCATAAACTTCGCTTCCTGTCTTCCCTGGTGAGATCACGGAATCGGCCAATGACAAAGCAGTGACACAACTCAAACTTTTACATAGTAACACATACCCCCACCTCCCCCATGCGTGTAAAATGGTTTCTTTATTCCCTGATGGCAAACTTGTCACTAAAACATATTAACTGGAAGCAGTATAAGTCTTGCTTGGTGAATCCTCAAAGTGAGCAGGGTTAGAAGGATCGATTTATCCTATTTATTACCCTTATTTCTGTATTGATATCTGCTACCTTTGTATTTTAAAGTCATAATTGACCGACATAAACAGTCTCTTTGGAGCAAATCTGGGGAGAAAAAGACTAATGTTTTGTACTGATCACAAAGCATTTGATGAAGTCCATATGGAAAAGATCCTAATTACCAACAGAGAAAGATTCCAAAAAACTAACATTTGTGTTATAATCAGTTAAATGAAGACATATCAAAACCTCCTTATACTTACAACAAGAAATTAAGTCTCTCATCTCAAAAAGATACCCTTGGGCAGCCTACTTCTTTTCTTAGAAGGCACTAAGAATGCTTTTATATATCTGTGTATTAGATACTTTTATAACATGTATTTATGTGAGAAAAAATACACAAGATATTTCCACTTTTTTTTTTTTTTTTTTTGAGAGAGAGAGTGGGAGAGGGACAGAGAGATAAGAATCCTAAGCAGGCTCCATACTCCATGTTCAGGGTAGAGCCCAACACAGGGCCTGATCCCAAAACTCTGGGATCATGACCTGAGCTGAAATCAAGAGTTAGCAGCTCAACCAATTGAGCCCCCCAGGCGCCCTCCAGTTTATTTTTAAAGGTCCACAGAAGGGGGCCCCTGGCTGGCTCAGTCGGGGGATCGTGTGACGCTTGATCTCACAGTTGTGTCTGAGTCCCATGTTGGGTTTAGAGATTAAAAATAAAATCTTTAAAAAAATAAAAAATAAAACGTACACAGAGAATCCAAAGACGACTCCAAATGAGACCACCAAATTCCTAAATCTGTAACTATCAAAATTTGAGGTCAGTAATTAAATATTTGTCTTAAGTTTTCTATTAAAGTAGAAAAAAAACCCAGCACAATGTCTCCATGGTTATCAGGAGTCATAGCAATGCATCCGGTTTGATGTGAAATGGCTATTTTCATAAACCTTCCTGGGGAGAGATGGCCAAAAATGCTGAAATTAACCCCAACATGAAAGTAGAGTATAACCAGAGGCTATTGATTCAATTTGTACTAAATACTGATTGCTTGCAACTATTCTTTCCTCCCGGTTCAGAAAAATATCTTTAATAAATTTTCTTCATTAGCTAGGAAGATCCAAATACCCAAATTAAGAATACTATTATGTCTTAATCCATTAATAGGCTTGTTATAACCCAAATGTTTGTCCCTTTTTTCAGGGTAAGAAGTTTGACTTTTCTAATGTTACCATCACATTTATGCAACATTGTAAGTGGGAGTATGTCATGATTTATAATACCATGATTAGCATTAATAGTAATGTGCAAACTGAAGAAACAGGATGATTTCTCTGCTACTTAACTGGTGCAGCCACTCTGGAAAACAATATGGGAGTTCCTTAAAAAGGTAAAAAATAGAACTAGAGTCGGGGGGGGGGTGGCACCTGGGTGGCTCAGTCCATTAAACGTCTAACTCTCGATTTCAGCTCAGGTCCTGATCTCACGATTCATGAGTTCAAGCCCCACATTGGGCTTTGTGCTGATAGTATAGAGCCTGGTTGGGATTCTCTCTCCCTCTTTCTCTGACCACCCCCTGGCCCCGCTCTCTCTCTCTCAAAAAATAAACTAATTTTAAAAATCAAAAAATAGAACTACCCTGGGGTGCTGGGTAGCTCAGTAGGTTGAACAAACAACTTTAGCTCAGGTCGTGATCTCACAGTTCATGAGTTCAAGCTCCATGTTGGGCTCTGTGCTGACAGCTTGGAGCCTGGGGCCTGCTTATGATTCTGTGTCTCCTTCTCTCTCTGTCCCTCCCCCACTTACTCTCTCTCAAAAATAAATATTAAATAAAAAAAATAGAACTACCCTACAACCAACAATTGTACTACTATGTATTTATCCAAAGGATACAAAAATGATGATTTGAAGGGGCATATGCTCTCAGATGTTTTAGTAGCATTATCAACAATAGCCAAACTATGGAAAAGAGCCCACATGTCTATTGACTGGCGAATGGATAAAGAAGAGGTGGTGTATATATATATACATGATTTCACTCACATGTGGACTTTAAGAAACAAAGCAGATGAACATAGGGTAAGGGAAGAAAAATAAAGACAAAAACAGAGATGGAGGCAAACCATGAGTCTTAAATATAGAGAACAAACTGAGGGTTGCTGGAGGGAGGTGGATGGGGGGGAATGGACTAAATAGGTAGGGGGTATTAAGGAGGGCACTTGTTGGGGTGAGCACTGGGTGTTGTAAGTGATGAACCACTAAATTCTACTCCTGAAACCAATACTATACTATGTTAACTAACTTGAATTTAAACTTAAAAAAAAAAATTCCCTGCACTTAAGAGAAACATTACGCTAAGGCAAGCATGTGAATTTTACTGCTTCCGTGAAATACTCCATTTTACTGCCTTCTTTGCAGCAGAAGTGGATGCCTGGGCCAGTTTTGGAATCAAATCCCCAGTCTCTGAGAAGGGCGTTTCGTACTCTAAGAACTAAATTCCCCTCTCTATGAAAACATGATTTGTTGGGGCCCCTGGGTGGCTCAGTCGGTTAAGCACCTGACTTCGGCTCAGGTCATGATCTCACAGTTAGTGGGTTCGAGCCCCGCGTCGGGTTCTGTGCTGACAGCTCAGAGCCTGGAGCTTGTTTCAGATCCTGTATCTCCCTCTCTCTCTGACCCTCCCTTGCTCACACTGTCTCTCAGGAAATTTCTTTAAAATTAAATTTCTTTAATTTCTTTAAAATTAAAAAAAAAAAAAAAGAAAACGTGATTTGCAATCCTATTCATCCCCTTAAAATTCCTCCCCCACAACAGGCTGAGGTGCAATCTGTGTGTCACATATCCTTTGTAAACTACAGAATTTTGTCCAGCACCTCAAAGTTTATAGTGCTTTCACAAAAGTACCTGATTTAATCTTGAAAATTCTGCTAAGTCCAAAACTAATGTAAGATACTAGGAACCATACAATATAAACTTGAACCAAAATATCGTGTAACATTTAATAATTGCAAATATATTTATTACAATTTACAGATTAGTTAAAGTTATATACACAAATATAATTTTAGCTATAAAATCCCCACAAACTGGTTACATTTAAATCACTGGATCTGCAGAAGCCGATTTAGAGTCTCCTAGTCCCCTAAAGTTACTTTCCTTAAATTATAAAAAAATAAAATCTGACAGGTTTGATTTCAAGTTAAAGACAAAGAGGTGCTGTTATCACATTTCAAACACTCGGAAAAGGAAAGTTTACCTGTCCGTACAAAGCCTTACACATGCTACATTGATACTTAAAGCACCATTGCGAGACTTTAAATGTGCGCAACGTTCCGTGACAGCTTCCGGGTTTAACTTTGTTCTAACGACTAGGATTGGGATGGAATGACAAGAATTGTTTTTGCCTTCGGTCCAACTTAAAAATAACCCCTTCTGTCCTGTTCATCACTGTGACCACTTCTTCTAAAGGAAGGTGCTAAGTGGGAGAATTCTTCCCCAAGCTTTTACTCATTTGGTAGGCAGGTTGGAATCCCCAGGGAACAAGGTTCCAAAACCCAGTACATGTCAAGCCATGCCATTCTCTTCATACAAGCAAGAGATGCAAGATTTCAGACAGAGCCTGTGAAATAACCAGTAGGCTGCAGGCTGGTTTTAAAGAATGCCTACGTGTTTTCAAAAAGCCTCATTCAAGGAAAATGATGAGTTCTTTCCACCGGACAGCAGGTGCCTGAAACTGGCCTGTGGCCACTCCGGCAGGACTCTGCAAGCGCCACCCCTACGATCACCCGAAGTGGAGGCGCGCCACGCCCATGGGGTAAGGGCTCCATCACCATGGGACCGGCTCTGACGGTGGTGTACTCTCGTGTGTTCGTGTATGAGGACGTATGTTATCCCTGGAGGCAATTCTTAGAGCAGACCGGATAGAAGTAATGACCAGGTAGATTATAAACTGAGGTAGTAAGTCAGCCAGCACTTCTGACGGAAACTTTGTTTCCACACTGAAGCAAGTTCAAACTGAAGAGGTCCCCTGTTCTACTCCTGCTTTCCGTCACCTGCGACAGCAGGCATGTGGGGTAAAAATGGACCAGTAAAGGAGCGGATTAACCTCACCTTGGCCTAGCAGAAGCGCACCGTGTAGAGCTAACCAAACACACCAAGGACAACCAGGCACTGCAAGAACTTCAATTCAAAAGTAAACTTCGGGCTAAAAACAGTAAGACTTTCGAGTTAAGTCTATAGTACCATCCGGAAGTACAGGCCTTGTCTGTCTTCTCTCATTAACAGCAGAACACAATAAGCTTGGATATCCACTGAAGTCTGTATTTTACGTTACCAACTGGAAAATTCAGAACTGCCCATTTCCAAGTTTACAGTGTTCCCCTGACAGGTTTTAAAAGTGACGGTGCGGAGACATGAGATTAATAACACTGGTTTTCCACTGAAACTATATACAACAGAACCAAATTGCTGAGAGGTCTCCTAGCTCCTTCCTAGGACAAGTCTTGGCTTTTCAACTTAAAAAATAAATGCCTCTGATGCAATCATTGCTTTCCAGAGTCTTTTACAACAATTTCTACCTGTTGCACACTACAAAGAACCATTGAACTGGGAACGACAGTAACATGCAGAGAACCCTCTCCAAGACACAGTTTGCACAGACGTTAAACATGTTAGACATTACAATTTGGCAGAAAGATGCAGTTTTCCCAAACAGCAGAAGAGTCCCGCGTGTGGAAGTTTTATGGCGGTTCCTCAGAGTGTCGTAGGTAGAACTTCACCTAGAAAACAACAACACACCACACAACTTTCAACCAGAGCTACTTTTGGTAGGGGGAAAAAAGCTGACACAAGATAGTATCAGTTGGTAGCGTACACAAGATTATTTTCTTAGCTTCAAGTTAGACGGGCCACATCACTGAAATGAAAATAGAGCATAAAAGCCCCTTAATTTTAGAACGTCAGGGAGGGAGAGCCCAAAGTTTTCAGACAGGGTACACAGAATTTAAATTAGGACGGAAAATGGCCTTTGAACCCTATAAATATTGTTTCCCAAGAAGGTAAGTTTTGAAAATGCAAAACTACATCTCAAACAGTCCCCTGTTTCACCTTGGCAAGCATGGGACATTCAAAAACACATCCAACTAAGTCAAAAAAGGGAGGCTTAGAAACCACATCATCTCATCCTTCATTACTGGGGCTCGGCTTCAAACCCGGACATTTCTAAGTGGGTTGGTTGCAAAAAAAGAAAGAAAAAAGAAAAAAATTAAACTAGGTCACTGGGTCCGAGTTGCATGTCCTCCAAAAAAAAGGACAGCTGCCAATTTTTGTTTTTAAAAGAAACCTCTCAAGTAAGAGGTAGCGTATGCACAAGTTACAGGCTGTCAAATCATCTTAACGTTGCTCGAAAGCACGAAGTCCTTTGCAGCAAGTTTCCTGGAGTCTATTAAACATTCTTTCTCTGTGCTCAACTGTCAAGCAATATCCAATAGCATCTTCTGTTTCTTGAATTCGTTTCTGGAACCTGCACCCATCCCGTGCAAATTCTTCCCAGGGTCCTTTGCGGTCCTCATCACCACTTATATAATACTCAGTAACTTCTTCAAGGAAGGTTACCTATAAAGACAAAGACTATTTTTAATCATGCTCTAGGATCTTAAAATCATCAAGGCAATTAACCCTTTATGCTACTAATTCTTTCAGAATACCACACATCCAAGTACCTTAGAGGAATATTTGGTTTCAACCGTAACAGAAGTTTAAAGAAAAAGCAGCAGCAGCAGTTGTTCTGACTGGGTAGATGGCATCTCAGTAAAAAAGTGGGCAAATGGCCATTTGCAACTACGTGGATGGAACTGGAGGCTATTATGCTAAGCGAAATTAGTCAGAGAAAGATCATATGACTTCATTCATATGAAGAATTTAAGATAAAAAACAGATGAACATAAGGGAAGAGAATCATAAAAATATTAAAAAAATATAAAAACAGGGAGTGGACAAAACATAAGAGGCTCTTAAATATAGAGAACAAACAGAGGATTGCTGGAGGGGTTATGGGAGGGGGGATGGGCTAAATGGGGAGGGGGCTTAAGGAATCCCCTGAAATCATTGTTGCACTATATGCTAATTAACTTGGATGTAAATTACAAAATAAATTAATTTTTAAAAAAGTGACCAAATGCCATTTAAATTTCCTTCACACACACACATACATTCCTGTCCCCCATCTGTCATCCTTTCATTCCACCTCTTTCCTCCTGGTCTTTGGTGTTAATAAAATGAATCCAGATGGGGAACTGTAAGTCTCCTGATATTATCAGTCTTTTTTTTTTTTTCCCCCCAATCCTTGGGGAAATACAGTTCTGTGACACTTTTCTTCCAGAATGACAAATAGTTCTCAAACAATTTTTAAGAAATATTTGAAATAGTTATTAGTCAATGCTTTTATTACAGCACAAAAGCTTTAACTATTTCTATTCTATTATAGCACAGAAGATCTTCACTATTTCTATTCTTCCTTTTTAAAAAAATTGTTTTTCGATGTTTTATTTATTTCTGAGAGAGAGAGAGACAGCGTGAGCAGGGGAGGGTCAGAGACAGAGGGAGATACAGAATCTGAAACAGGCTCCAGGCTCTGAGCTGGCTGTCAGCACAGAGCCCGTCGTGGGGCTCGAACCCACGAACCGTGAGATCATGACCTGAGCTGAAGTTGGATGTTTAACCGACTGAGCCACCCAGGCGCCCCATCCTCCTTTTTCCTTTAAAGAGAATTTCGCTTTTTGGGTGCTTTCCAATTTGCATCATGAGCATGCAGTATTACTCTTACGTTATTACGTTTGTAATCAGACTATTAAAAAAGTTACTTAGTAAACAGAATGCAGCAAAATTAACATGTTTTAAGGCTATGTTACCGAGGGACTTTGTAGTTGAGATAAAAACCCTCCTTTTATTCCTGCTCAATATGCTTCACTACATACACATGAAATTGTAACTATTAAATACACACGATTTCACGGAATGAGTGACAGTCCCTTTTTAACCCCTACCTCATTTCTAACATAGCAAAGTACAAAAGTAAATACTTGCTCTAAAATATGTTCAATAGTTACATCAGCTAATCCCCATCGTGGCCTACTCCTTTCATTCCCTTTACATCAGGCCAAGGGACGCCCTGGAGGGCAATTAGCAAGTGCGTAACATCTTACTAGATATTGCATTCTAGAGTTACTCACTCACTGTGTCACTAAACTAAATAACAACAACAACAACAACAACGTGTACAGAGTGTTTACCACAGGCCAGGCTCCCTTCAGAGCACTTCACAATTTTTACCTCATTTAATCCTCCGAGGATATGTACCATTATCACCTCCACTGTGCAGAGAAGCCCATTAGGCCTGTTTGAATCGCACAGCTTCCACGTGGTGTGGCAAGAGTGCGGCCCCACAACGCGCACTGTTACTGCCAGGACACGGGCGGTTCAAACTCCCGTCGCTCGCTGTTTCATTCTGAGAATTAGGCACTACCCGTAATTCCCATACACCTGTAGAATGTCAAGTACTCAAAGGCTTTCCAAATAATTTTACTATGTTTTTGACAGAATCTTTTCTAAATGTTGCTGCTAGTTCATAGTCCGTAGTCTTACAGCTCCTTGACTCACCTCATGTTTACTCAATGAGTAAGCGAAAATGAGACACCAGACTGGCCTAAGGTCCCTGAACAGTACAGCTACCATTTAAAGGCAAGGCGATGAATTAGGAGTTTTATTTACTCATCTCATTTAAATCATGCAACAATGCATACAACCGATGCAATTATTACTCCCATCAGATAAATGAGTGAATCAAGGCCATGAGAGGTCAAGGCACTTTGCAGGTCTGGCTGGCTTCCCAAATCTCTCGGCCCTAACAGCTCAGCAGGAAGGGACACAAGTCTCCAGATACCGAATGCTCATTCCGCGGCCCCACTTTGCTTTTTAATCTAGTCAAGAAATAGGTCGTTTTGTCAGGGGCCCATTCAAAATACGGAGAAAAGATCTTGTGTGACGGCATTCACAGAAGTGTGAACCAAGTTTTTAACATGACTCAGTCCGCTTCTACAGGCGAGACACAAGTTGTCACCACTTAGAGACATTTTCTACCCAGCAAGAGTTTCAAAGGATTGAGCTGGCCATTCAGAGCCAACAGATTATGGTCCTGTCCACTCGAAACTCTGATGCAGCAGAATCAGAGATAGTAATAATCTCCCCTCCTTTCTCTTTCCAAAGAAGTATACAGGAAACTAAAGGAAATTTCCCTCTACAATAAAAGGTACCCCGCTTGCTTGGAGGGGATCCTTGGCAATTAATGACGTTAGCTGAATAAACAGTAGAGGGAAAAAAATAAAGCAATTCAAAGGTCTTGCCAAAAGAAAATTAACTTGACAATATGTTAAAAGAATAAAATGCTCCATGAAGTTTTTAAGCAACTACTCAAGTTAAACCTAATTAAGTGACCATCATTGTTACAAATGATTATTAACCATTAACTGGCCAATGAGAACTCATAACTAGTATTGAATTCTTAGGAAAAGGCAATACTATTTCTTGTATTTTTTTTTAACTGTTAAAGTCACGTACATGTCAAAAAGCTTTTCATACTGAAACTAGTATTTTCTTTCATGGCAAACGACCAGACAAATCTGACTTGCTACTCGGTACCATCATCCCTCTGGGTTCTAACGGACAGTAATAAAGACACTGTTATCCTGTAAATAAAATATGATCTGCAAATGACATACCACATGTAAAATACTATGGCTATAACAGGACCTGACCAACCTCCAAAAGGTTAAATTGTGTGGACACAAGGTTTAATTTTTCTGTTCCATAAAAAAGAGTGAAAAGTTGACGCCTGCCTGGAAACAGTCCAGAGCTACAAACCCAAATGAAAAGGGCACTTTCCTGCTAACGTCTATACCCCAGCGTGTTCCATTTGGACAGGAACCACATTCTAAAAGAGGGAAGGAGGCAGGGTGGGGGTGCGGTGATATCTTAATCCGAGTATATAAACTTAGAGTCCTTCCTCAAAAAATATGCACGACTTCGCCTCAAGAAAAGTCATCCTACTGGATTCAACCACATCAAAACAATACAAATTAACAGTCACATTTAAAAAAAAGACACAAACCTTTTTCCTCTTGACATGTGTGTGTCTTTGTCCAGAAAGAACCCCACCCTGTAACAAGTCTGCACCTTCAGTGTCTCGGCACCCTAACAGGTGCACCTCACAAGAAAGTAAGGTGTGACACTCCGAAATGGCTGCAGTGAGCTCAGACGGTCTCTCTGGGTCACAACAGCCTTTCCAAATTTTCCCTGATGTTTGAAAAGGAGCCTTAAAATTTAAAAGGTTGTAGGGGTCATCGGAATTACAGAAAGAATTCCACAGTTTGAGATTCTCTGCTTCGTCTGCACTAGATTCCCAGTCCTCTTCCTCCTCAGAATTCTGGTCAGGAGACTCGGGAAGGCTTCCACCTTGAGGAGAATTCTCTAGATCAGATTTGTCAGACAAATCCTTCTCAGAGTCGGAAGGGTCTCCGGGAACATGCCTGGCAGCTGTCTGAATTGCTGCGGTAAAGTTCTGGGGATTATAAGGATCGACACTATAGAAAGAGTTCCAAAGGTGAAGCCCTTCAGAGTCTTGTTCAAGGTCTGATTCTGAGAATGAGCTATCGCTATCAAAACCATCATCCTCAGCCTCCTCATCCCAACCTTCATCTTCCGAATCTGAACTTGTTTCCGAGTCACTGGGTGCACCTCCTAAAATGAAATCGATCAGTCTGTTGCTACAGACTGGTCTGGTGGAAAAGGGAACGTCACCCTCTAGGTCTGAGGAGTCAACTACACTTATTTGGTCCTCTCCAGGCTCCTTCTCCACAGGTACCTCGCGAGATGGACAGCCTTCTGAAGGGCCGGGTTCCTCCACAGCAAGCGGAACCTCTGGAGTCAACGATGCGATTTGCCCCTCGGCTCCCGGTTCCTGGGCGGTTCCGGAAAAATCTCCAGCGGAAGGAACACCCTGTGTCGGACTGTCTCCGCCTGGCGTCAGATCCATCCGGACCAAGCTGTGCTCCTCCTCCAGGCTGTGGTAGCCATGATCTTGGTCCGGGGTGGGTAACGCTTGCCCCTTGCTGGCCTGCTGAAGGAATTCCAGCCGCTTCGTGCGCAGATGGTGGATTTCGGGCATGCCCTCTCTAGAAAGGGGCGGACATCCCTGCCAAGAGGCGCAAGTGATCTCTGCCTTCAGTGGCTGGGGAGGGTCATGGGCTTCAGTCGGACAGCTGCTCTCGGGGCTGAGGTTCTGGAAATCAACTAGCTCGCCACTTCCCACGCTGTTCTGATAGCCGAGCCCCACCTGGGGCAGGCGGTCCAGATAGGAGGGGTGCAACACACAGACCACGCTCAAACTGCTCAAAGACTTCCCGTTTGGAGGCCCGGAGGGCAAAGGGCCAAGTTCCCGGTCAGAGCAAAGACGGCCTTGAAGGCCACCGGGCAGCAGCTTCACTCCCCACAGCTGCTGCTCTAACAGAAAAGCGTGTGCTGCAGGGTCCTGGGCTCTAGCCTTAGATGTGAGGTCCAATCCTAGACCTAAAGACGGGCACTGCCAGTGGATCCCCTCCTCCAGCCAATCGAGGGTACCGGCACCAGAGTCGTCCGAGGGGTCGAGCCTCAGCGAGCTCACAGACTTCTGGACGGGGGGTGCGGCTGGGTCCTCCCGAGCCTTCAGGGCTCTCAGGGCGCTGTACCCTCCGGCAAAATCTAGCCATCTGGTCGGAACCATCCCTCCGAAAAGCTGGCTCCAAACCAGCACCTTCTGAAGCATGCTGGGGAGCGGCGAGAGGAATTGGGAAAGCAGCTTCATCCAGTAGCTGGACCGAGGCTGGGGCTGGGGAGAAGTAGCCAGTCTGGGGTCCCCGGAGTGTTCCGGGGCAGGAGGCGTGGGCAACTTGGAAGTACCGGGTTGCGGGCGCCGAGGGAAGAAGGGCAGCCGGATCCGGGAGCCCGGCCGAGACGCTGGCCGTGGCCGCGATCCGTCTGCTGCCGGCTCCATCTCCTCGTTCTCGGCAGTCTCAGGGCTGCAGGTCGGACGGGATTCGGAGAGGCCTACACAGTCTTGGCCTTGCCGCGCGCCGGCGTCGGAGCCCCAGGGCGATCCCCGGGCCAGCAGAACCGCAGCGGGAAGCGGCTTCGACCGCGGGCGGCAGACCACAGTCCGGAACGGCAGGCACAGGACGCCGCGGCCGAGACGACATTCATCCTGGCGGGAAGAAGGTGTCCTAGTCCGCCCGAGGACGCTCCACCATAGACAGAGCCCTCCCGCGGCGACGGCAGCGACTATCCAAAAGGGACGGACCGTTAAGAAGCCCCTCGGCAGCGCGACCCCGGAAGGGCTGGGCAAGAGGACGCGGGTGGAAGCGAAGCCCAAAATGGCCGCGGGGCCAGCGCGGACCAGGACACCGCCAGGCGGGAGGACGAGACGAAGGACGGCTGGCTACGCCACCAACCCAGCGTCGCCCAACGTCACTCGCACAGCCTCGGCGGGAGGGCCTTTCCCCACTCCTCCGTGCGGCCCCTGATTGGTCTTCGGCGGCTCCCTGTCGGCTTCCTTACTCTCGGCGGACCCGGCCCGCCCGCCGGAGGTTGCATCAGCCGGGCCTAGGCTGTACGCGTGCGCACTCGCTCCTCCGTGGTCTCCTAGGAGACAGCCCCGCCCCACCCAGTCCTTTGGGCAAAAGGGGAGGAAGCCCTTTTAAGGTCCTAAAACACACCCAAGTGTATACGCTTACTTTAGGCTTGCATATATCGGGGTTCTTGTATTGTTGAGTGCTAAGTAGATCATCAGTATGAGATCTTAGTAAAATAAGAATTGGCAATACTGTATAAATACGTGTCTGGTGTTAAGACACTAATAATTTGGAATGAATAATAAGAGAGCAAAATCATAAGTGAAAATGAGTCATTCTTATGCGTTCGTGGCCTTTCGGTTTTCGAGTTTCTAAATTACTTAGCTTTGCCTGGAACCCAGCTTTCGGTATCGAACCCACATACATCCCCACGAAAATGTGAACTCCTGTCTTTTAGGCCGTGTCCCTATTAGACTGTCCCCTTTCCAGAGGGGCAAACCGAAGTTGCAGAGGAGGAAAGAAACACAATCCTCGGAGCTGTTGACTCTCATATGCCTCCCAGGAGGCAACACATTCAAGTCCTATTTATGTCCTGAGCTGCCCAGAACCGCAGGATACAATAGGCAAAGGACACACAGAACATAATCCTTTGAAAAAAATGTGATCATTTTACTTGCTATATTTGATTCTCTTGTGAGTTTGGTCTTAGTTCATTTCTTTTTTCTGCTACAAGTTTTTCACTGACGCCTCAAAAAATCTATTACAGACGGAGTGTGGCAATTTTGAGCACTTAGGGACTGCAGAAAGGTCTTTCAGGAGCCAGGAGGAAGCCAGTTGCTCTACCGGCTTCAATGCGACGGTTCAAAGAACAGCTGCTTCCTTCTAGGAATCTAAGAGGTCCTCCGTTTCTAAGTTTTACCCCTTATTGTCTTATCCATAACTCTGGAAATATCTCACTTTCAATCCTAAGAACTTCAGGAAAAAAATGTGTTAATAATAGGAGTCAGGTTAATAATAGAAAAGAGATCTAAGCATGAAAATTAAATACTTGAGGACTCAGTTTCTTGGTTGTCAAATGAGACGAATAACTCCTCTTTCAACACGTTGGTGAGAGAACAAAATTCCTAATACAGTGCCTAGCTTAGATAGAGTAGGGGTATAAACATCAGCTAATTCTTGTTATCAGCTAACAGTTGTTTCCATTGCCTACACAGTCAAGGCTCTGTACACCCTGTCCTTCCTCCTATACTTTGCCAGACTTCTCTTCAGTAACTTCCGTTCATGCGTGTTAATACTCTAGAACATTGGACTTGTGTCCTGCCTTTATTTGTGCTGTTTCTCAGCCAAGAAAGACCTCTTCCTCTCCCTTACATAAGTACTCATGCTTCAAGGTCCAACTCAAACATCAACCCCTTCTTGAAATACGTTGGCCTTCCCAGTCAGGACTGTATTATTATACACTATTTGAGCACTTAACACGCTACACTATATATACCTGTAAATGTTCTTTCCTGCTGGTTTCAGCTTCTTGAGGGCTATTTCTCAACACCTAGCCAGCAGTTCCCAAAATATGATCCGGGCACCCTCAGGGATCCCATTTTAAGACCCTGTTACAGGGACCTCAATGCCAAAATAATGTTCATAATAATACAAAGCTGTTATTTTCAACTCTCATTTTTTCATGCGTGTACAGTGGACATGTATCTTCTAGAAAATACATGATAAGTGATCTGGCAACACGTGGAATGCAAAAGCAGATAGGAGATCCGAGTTATCTTCTATCAAGCCTGATATTAAAGACATTTGGGGGAAAAAAAGTAAAACAATGTCCCTCCTCTTGTTATACTGTTTTGTTTTGGAAAATAATTTTTCATTAAAAGTGTTGTATTGCCATGTAGTGGGTTTATGATTTTTAATGAATATTTTTAAATTCTGCAGTTCTGAGTTCTTGAACAGTAACTATTGATAGATATATAATACACATAAATAAAAGTTCCTTGGGGTCTTCAATAACTTTTAAGAGTGTAAAAAGGATCCTGAGCCCAAAAAGATAGGGAACCACTGACGGAGATGTTGTCTGGCACATAACGGGTGACCAATAATGTTTGCTGAATGAATGGAAGAGTACTGATACTTAAAAATAACAGCCATCAAGGGCACCTGAGTGGCTCAGTCAGTTAAACGTCTGACTCTTCAGTCAGAGAAAGACAAATACCATGTGACTTCACTCATATGAGGAATTTAAGACACAAAACAGATGAGCATAAGGGAAGGGAAGCAAAAAATCTATAAAAACAGGGAAGGGGCAAAACATAAGAGACTCTTAAATATAGATAACAAACAGAGGGCTGCTGGAGGGCTTGTGGGAGGGGGATGGGCTAAATGGGTGATGGGTATTAAGGAATCTACTCCTGAAATCATTGTTGCACTATATGCTAACTTGGATGTAAATTTAAAAATTAATTAATTAATTAATTTAAAAAATAAGTCTGACTCTTGACTTTGGCTAGAGTCATGATTTCACAGTTTGTGAGTTTGAGCCCTGCTTTGGGCTCTATGCTGACATTGCAGAACCTGCTTGGGATTCTCTCTCTCCCTCTCTCTCTGCCCTTCCCCCACTGGTATTCTTTCTCTCTCTCTCTCAAAATAAATAAACTTAAAAAAACTTTTGAAATAACAGCATGTTCGTTATGGCTAAGCCTTTTTTTTTCTACTCTCAACTTTGTTGCTAACACCACATCCCCCCCCCCTCAAATTTTCTTAAAGCTTTCTCTCACTTATTTTTTTTCTAATTTTTTAATGTTTGTTTATTTTTTGAGAGAAAGAGAGACAGAGTGCAAGTGCGGGAGAGTTAGAAAGAGAAGGAGACACAGAATCCGAAGCAGGCTCCAGGCTCTGAGCTGTCAGCACAGAGCCCAATGCAGGGCTCAAACTCACAAGTGGTGAGATCATGACCTGAGCCGAAGTCGGATGTTTAACCGACTGAGCCACCCAGACGCCCCTTAAAGCTTTCTTGAGTGAGCCTCCCCTTCCCCATCTAGTCCTTGAATACATAACTTTATTCTCTTTACCTTGGAAGTTGTTCTTAAGGGGGAAAAAACACAATCATAAAGTATCAAAACCTATAAGAATTTGTGACTTAGCCCTGTCAGTCCCAACAGGAAAATAAAGTGGAAACCAGCTTCTGCAAGCCTGCTATGGTCTAGAGGGTAGAGGGAAGGTGGCTCTGGACACAGAGATAACAAGGTGTTGCCATAGCTTCATGGCTGCTGGTGAAGACAAGAAGTCCTTGGACTGGCAAGCTGACTGGTACTTTGGCAGAAGATAAGGTTTATTTATTTTTTAAAAACGTTTTAATGTTTTATTTATTTCTGAGAGAGAGAGTGTGAGCAGGGGAGGGTCAGAGAGAGAGACACACACAGAATCTGAAGTAGGCTCCAGGCTCTGAGCTGGCTGTCAGCATAGAGCCCGATGCGGGGCTCAGACAGCTTTCTCTCACTTAATTTTTTTCTAATTTTTTAAATGTTTCTTTATTTTTTGAGAGAAAGAGAGACAGAGTGCAAGTGGAGGAGGGGCAGAGAGAGAGGGAGACACAGAATCTGAAGCAGGCTCCAGGCTCCGAGCTGTCAGCACAGAGCCCAAAGCAGGGCTCAAACTCACGACTGGTGAGATTATGACCTGAGCCGAAGTTGGATGCTTAACCGACTGAGCCACCAGGCGCCTTGGCAGAAGATAAGGTTTAAACCTCAGTTAATTATGTTTATTTTAAAAGACTTTGCAGGCCTGAGATAAAGGGTATATAGCTTGTGAGTTTATCTTCCTGCCAGTACCACCTCCAAAATCTTGTTTCTAACCATCCCACGCTTCGAGTGGCCACCGCCTGCCATCTTTCTAACTCACTGCCCCGGTGTCCCTATTCAGTGACCTATCAACCCCTAGAAACCTCCACACCATTGCATTTCCACCTTTGTGTGTGTGTGTGTGTGTGTGTGTGTGTGTGTGTGATTTCTCACCCTCCTTACCCAGTGTGAATTCCATAATCCAGTATTAAAAACTATCCCACTGAAAAGACCCTTCGTTCTCTTGCTCTTCTTTGGCAAAATTCCAACCCTAGTTAAACCCAACTACCCACTTCTTCTGAGTCTACACACTTGCAGCTAATCATTGCTGAAGAAAAGCACTCATCCATGCCGACTGACTTGCTTCACATTTGTGACCACAAATTTCCTCAGTGCCAGGCACTCCTACAGCAGTTCATAGTTCCGGAGTCCCTTTGTTTATCCCACACTCTGAGAGTGTTTCACAATTTCTTCCAATTTTCAGCATCCCCTTAAATACACATTCTCGGCTTAGGATCACACCTCATACTTCATTGAGAAACCAGATACAATTGGACATAAACATCTTGCCACCACTAAATCCACCGATCTACCTGCATTTGGACCTGTATACTCTGTCTTCAATCCCATAACAAGAAAAGAAGCTTCCTAGGGGTGCCTAGGTGGCTCAGTGTGCTGAGCGTCCAACTCTTGATTTTGGCTCAGGTCATGATCCCAGGGAAGATTCTCATTCTCTCTCTCTCTCTCCATCAAAAATAAACAAACACTAAAAAAATTAAAAGATTCTCTATCTCAAGAAGAAAAAAAAAGAAACTTCCTGGATCTTTATTGAAATTTTTAAAATGTTTTTATTTATTTCTAAGAGAGAGAGAGACACAGTGTGAGCAAGGGGTCAGAGAGAGAGGGAGATACAGAATCTGAAGCTCCAGCTCTGAGCTAGCTGTCAGCACAGAGTCTGATGTGGGGCTTGTACCCACAAACTGTGAGATGATGACCTGAGCCGAAGTTGGGTGCTTAACCGACTGAGCCCAGGTGGCCCAGAAACCTCCTGGATCTTGTCCTTTCGAGCCTTCCT